ATAAAGTTTGTTTCAGTAATTATAGTCAATTCTGAACTTATTAAAATTCAAAAGCTGTAGTTTTATTTTAAAATTTGTATCAGTTCATATTATTACAGTTTATTATGTCTTAGTTCTAATCAATACGCTGTTAAGAAAAATTTTAAGAAACTTTCAAATCAATGTTTAATTATCATATAAAATTTTTATATTTAGTTTTGTCAGTCTTGTACCACATTATCAGTTGGAGGAATTCGTCAACAGTTTTCTTTACCTGAAAATATTGAATTATCAATGGCCTCTGCAGAATTTCTACGAAATGTAAAATCAAATCTTAGTCTACCAGGTATGTTTTATAAAAATTTGAATATTTATTGTAAAAATATCAAATCTGTTTTTTCACAGAAATAATCTGTAAGATTAATGATATTGACAAAATTTATAAATTAAGAAAGCAATATTGATTAATAGTCTGGTTGATTTCATTTCTATATTGCACAATAAGTTATGATTATAATATACAAATATCAAAGGAAGTATTACTATTACAAATTTAATGTAAGTCATAGTAATTGATGAAGTTATCAATATTTAAATCAGAGAATTTAATACAATTCAGCAATAATTACACTGACTGATCAAAACATTAGACAGTGGTAAATGATGGAAAATGTATGCTGGTACCCCCTAGCAGAGTGTAACATACCCAAACTAAAATCAGGATCTTTGGAAATAAGCACAGAATTGCTATGAAGAACTTATCATACAGGAACACTATTGATTGGTTATGTACACTTTATTATATGAAAAGGAAATGCATTTAAGGTTATTCATCTCTCTTCAGTCCTTATACATATATGATGAAACTGAAATGATATATTTATTAGTGACAACTGGTGTAATCTTTTAAAACAAAGAGGATAAAACTAGTAAAACTATAAAACATAAAAGTTAAAACTTGCTAAAAAATTAGCAAATAGAAAAATTAACACACAAAATCACTAAAATGAGCCAGTAAAATTTTCACTAAAATAAAAGATCTGAAATATTTCACTGTACTTTTATCACATAGGCACTGTCATATGGTACAGTGAATTCATTGTTTCTGAGAAGGATCTAAGTTTTCTCTACACCACACTCAATTTCCTTCCATTTCTTTAAAAACATTTCTATGATTGACTGAGCAAAACCATACTTCTTTCCAACTTCTGTTTATTTCATTTCACAACCAGTATCTTTGAAAGCATCTAATTTCATTTCCAAATGTATCTATTTCTTGATTTCACCATTTTTTCCACTAAATGTTAGTACCTCTATCTTCTTGGCCACAAGCTGGAGATCTTGTCTGGTGAGAAAAGGAAACCCTTCAAAATTGGTTGGACTCTTGCAAAAAATATATACTAGTGATGCCACGAATAGTGATTTTGTTGAATACCGAATATTCAGCTATGCTCTTGGCCGAAGTGCTGAGAATTTGGTGGCTGAATGTTCAGCAAAATATGTGTACATTTCACAAGTGACTGGTTACAACCTGTCTCATTGTGGTGGGTGCGGTAGTGACACTGCAGGCACATTTGTTTTATTTGTGAGTAGATCATGTCATGACATGCATTATTTGTTCATTGTTACATCAAATTGTGTTACTAATAGTCCTTATTACTAAAAAATATCACTGTTTGTATCACTTTATATGAAAACTGTTNTGAATTGAAATCACGTGACTTTCGGTCTACACTGGAAGTTTTATATAGTTAATCGGGGATTCCTCTTCCGAATCTTGACACCGCTGGTCTCAGCATTTATATATCTAACTCCGTTCTCGAAATTAAGAAAGGACAGACAGTCAGACGGTCGACAGTGGGAATTTATAGGTCTACAGTTTTTTCAAATTGCAGTCCAACAAGCTATAATGTCTCTTATACACAAGCTACATTGACAAATTTCGATTATTAATCATTAACCCATTCTCAGATATTAAATGAAATAGACGCCTATACAAACACAAGCAAGCACACATATCCATAAAATTTTCCCCTTTTTTGGGGGTTCAGGGGTCTCAAATTATGGAGATTTGCAAACACCTGGAGGATCAAATCTGACTAATTTCAATACCTTTCTTTGTTATGTATCAGCCGGGAAAGTAAACTGTACAGTCCTATCACTTATGCTACAGTAACTGCGCATATTTTCGGCATTAACATTACTAATCTTTTAAAGCACCTTGTAAAATTTCTTTGCAAAAACAGCAGATCTGTTATTATTATATTTAATAAATTTATAATGTAATATTATTATTTATATTAAAATCGTCAATTATATTACAGTTTGGATAGTTTTTAAAATGCAGTTCTCTTATGTATCATTGTGTCGATATCTCGTACAAGTTCAGCATTGCTCAAAAATACAGCTTGATATAAGCTTGCATGATTTAGCATATCAAAAAAGACAATAGGTTTATTACCTTTTAATCCTTTACTGCCTATGCTATTTTAGTCACAATACTTATAATTTTATTTCTAGGAATTATGGATAAAGCGAATGTCATATAATGAATAATACTCGTTACCTACTGCCTAAAAGGAAACATCTTTTAATATTTCTACTGAATACTTTATTATTTCTGCTGTGAGATATTGGAAATCAATAAAGTAATAACTCACAGAGGAATAAAAAATCAAGAAATAATAAGAATTCAAAAATGTTGTACAATTAAAAAGACATTTAACCTATGATGCATTACCTTTTTAATTTATATAAATATTTTGCATGGTAATTGGTCAAGGGTTTGCACGTGACCAACCGAACGGCCACGTGGAGTTTTTCTGGATATCTTCACGTGTCTAATATCAAAACAAGAACCGGTCTCCCATATAAAGTGCTCTCAGGAAGTACTTGCCTTTGGCAGATCACTCATAGGTTGCGTTCCCTTATTCCACCAACCCAAACCCTCACAAATATTTTATTTTCTACAAGAGATGGCAGTTATTAAATTCCTAGCTAATATGAACACATTGCAGCATTCATTAAATAGTTTTTGCAATTCTTTATAGACAATTTTCTACTATGTCTATAAAGTTCGGTAAAATGTAAAGGTACTTAATCAATTTTATAAAAATATTTATATGTTCTAATGCTTCTTACTATTGTTTACTTTGCTAATAGCTTAATCATGTTAACAAAAAACGCGTTTATGCACGAGAACATTAATTTAGAGTTTATCGATCAATAAACTGTGGAAAACAGAAATTTATATAAAAAGTAAATTATATCTACTTTTTATATAAATCCACAGTTTTCCATATTCCACAGATTATATCTGTTGCGGTAGATAGAAAAATTCAGGTAAAAGTCAGAAAGAAACTCTCTGTCGTTTATCTTTCGTTTTAGTTATTCTTAGTGAATATCATCTGTTATAACAATGAGACCTATTTGCGATAAACCGAATTTTCGAAAATAGTGGAATGAAGTCGGATAGATAAGAACAGACTTGATAAAATTCATAGTAGTAAAGCAGTTGGTATATTAACTAATTGACTAATAATCGTACATAAGTTAAAAGAAATGAAGAGAAATATAAATAATTGTTCATGCAAAGTTCTTTCTCCAGCTGTACATTTTACGAGTATATTCGGAATTAGTAGCTTATACAAATGTAAACATTAAATATTAATATTGACAATCGTTATCATCCATAATATACTTCTGTGTCTTGATCCTTTCTAGAAGTCAGTCTGTCGTTTTCTGTTCTACATTATTAATAACTCAAGGAAATGATAAATTATCTACTGCAGTCTATCTTATTGTATCCTAAAATTATGTTCTGTGAGGTATTTAACATTAATAAAAAATAAAAAGAAGATCAACTATAGGTATTTACCAGAAAAAGATATTTCTATATTGAATAAATGGCAAACATTTATAATAAATTTTGTTCCTGTTATTTATCTAATTATTTGCACGTTGATTTATTTGGTACATCTATTTATTTTTTTCCCAATTTCGATCAAATCTGTCAATTCTCAAGTTGCATTAGTGTGCCACTTTTTCATTATAGTTTTTCATTATTTAAACTATTTTCTCGTGGATGGTGTGGCGCTCTATATTATATATATGCTGATTTTTAACCAATTCATAATAAAAAAGAAATTTGACGGCATGAAGAATGACGTTTCTAATTTCCATTCTCATTTTAATGACGTCGGAGACTAGGGCAGTGTTTCTCAACCTCTAACGAATCGTCGCCCCCTTTAATAAAACCATTACGTAGTATCGCCCCCTTCACTTCAAAATTCCGATGCCGAGGGCGAAGGCTAACGCCAAATTCGTACTGCATTGAATAGACTAGTGACTAGTATAATGTTATTTGTTTAATTATTGTACGTTATATGAATAAAATATCTAATTATTCTTAATATAATGTTTTACTATATCGCCCAGAAAATCGTGTGTATCTCCATTAGGGTCGGACTTAATTAATGAGGATTTTACTCGTTATTAGCATTTACAATATTTTTTATAATACTCATCTCTACCCTCAAAATTAAGCTTTTTCCGTTTTATAATAGTTTAAAATTTTAAAAGCTTTTATGATAACAGATGGCGCCACCAAAACTTTAAATATTGTCGGGAAATTCATCAACTCCTTTCTGGTTTATTTAATTTACTTGTTAACGATCATTCAGAATTTCTGCAAGACCGAGTAACTCATAATTTTTTATTGTCATCTTCGATAGATATTAACCACTGATGACGTTCTTTTAACACTGCACAGCCCTGCTTCTTAGTGCCCAAAGGACGGGGAAAAAAAGTAAAATATGGCAATCGGTCGAAAAAATGACTACTCCAGATTTCTTTAATATATAAAAATTAGTTTTATAGTCGAATAAATATAAAAATTATATTCTGTACAGTACAATTACACAGGACAAACGATATCATTTAAAATTCTGTATTTCATTTTAGTGTAAAAACGATGATGACAGCGCCTCTAGTGATTATTTTTTTTATTAAAATGGCTGCCTCCTTGATAACGTGGTCCTGATAATTTCGTCTGTATAGTGTAGATATTGCCAGTGTAAAATGAGTTTTAAGATGAGCAAGTTGTTTTCTGTTGTACGTAATGTTCGAATTACGTGTACTCAAAAGTATTTTATTCCGTGGCATCAGAAATTAAGATATAGTAGCAAGAATAAAGATTCGCCATTCTACTTTGAAGGACAGAATGTTTTCAATTATAAAAAAGTTCCTATCCCAAAGGCTTCTGATATTGTCATAATAGGAGGAGGAATATATGGATCGTCTATAGCGTACTGGTTAAAGGAAAGAGCTCCTGACAGCTTCAGTGTAATGGTGATCGAGAAAGACCCAACAGTACGGATCATAAGTTGTTAAGTATTGTTATTGTTTAATTTATGAATAAATGTTAACATAAATTTTATATTCTTATCGGTTAAAGTGTACCTACGTAACCCCAATGGCGGTGCTTCCGACTGTTCGTGCTCTCGACGGACTCCTAGGTCGCCGAGTGTTTAACGTCACTAGTTATTGATTCACGGTAGTTTTTGAACAAAATAAAGAAAGGAAACGTTTACTAAAAATATAGTTAATGTAATCTAACCTAACTGAAGTGTCGCCATTGAGGTTACCTAGGTACACTTTAATCTTTTTATCAATGTTATAATTACTCATCTACATTTAACAAATTAAATACTACTTTATTTTATCACACTTCTTAGCCAAAATATACAAGGTGATCCCATAAGTCCCATAGAATTATGCTGATGTTTGTTTATTCTTTTACAGGTACAATGTTGAGTAAGGAGGAAATAATTTGAGTTATCTGGATGATAGGGACAAGCAGTCAGTGAAAAGTCACCAAAGAGTTGTGTGTGATTGGTGGAAAGTATGGATGCAGCTATAAACTTCAGAAACTTTTCACTGACTGCAGATTCCCACCATCAAAATTACTTGTGCATTTCCACCATTTATTCCTCCTTATGCAGCATCATACTTTTACAAATAAAAAATAAACAAAGATTGACATAACATCTATACTTTCAAACTTATGAGATATCTATATACAGTATAGTTTAGTAAAAACACTGTTTTATCTAAATTAAAACTAATTTAACATGATATTTATTTTTCATTGAGAATTTTAGACACTACTTTATAACCTAAATTTGTTGAAGGTAATTAATTAGAGGATCATTGAATTTTAAACAAATATATTTTAATCTGTAGAAGTAAAAACTACCAATCCATAACAACCAAATTTTTTCTAAACTTGATGATATGTACAAACTATTTATTGATTTAAACAATTCTTTATGTATCTTTTCATTTGTTCTTCACATTTAAATGTTAAAACAACTTAATTAAAANTAACAAGCGACGTATAATCGGGAACGACGTAACTCGAAACGACGTAAGTCGAGGTATGCCTGTATATATACACAATATATGCACTCTATATTTGCACTCTATATATTTATGTGCAATAAGCCCATATTTAATGAAATTTAATATAAAAACGAATATAAAAAGTAAATTTGACCAATTATGTCAGATATCTTGAGTACCTTTCGTGATAGAACCCGATTTTAATATAAAATTTAAAACGGGCAATTTGGTTCGTTGCTTGAGTCACTTGTCCGGCATGTCATTGGTTTGCTTACCCATCTGTTTCAGACATCGTGCTTGTGCTCATTAGAACTATTGATATTACATTCATTAAAAAATAAAAAATAAATCAATAGATTTTCTTCTTTCTCGAATATTTTTTTATATATAACTCATAGAACAATTTACAGAACAAAATCAAATATGACAAAACAATTAAAAACACATTATACAACGCTTCTTTAGATACATCGCATTCGTAATTATTAATTATTAGCCAATATACCCAACAAGCCGTTAAAAGTGCCCAAGCCATTTGAAATATTTGAATTGTTGTTATAAACATGGCGAACATTTTAGGCATTTTTATATTCATAGTTTTCAAAAAGAAATAACTATACATAAAAGAATGAACAAAAACGTTTACGTAACAAAAAAAAAATATCCAAAGGTAATTTCTTTATAAGCTCCGTACCAAATAAGAATTAGAGTAGCCGCATGATGATACCAATGAAGAAACATCAAGTTCCGTTTGCGTAAAACAATGAGTATAGTATCTCCAAGTTCCACAACTTTCGATATGAGGTATAAGGCAGTCCAAAACATAAATCCTTTCTGTTGAGTATAAGCCTTGTTATCGCAGATAATATAGTAAAGAGGAACGTATTTTATAGCATAAATTATTACAGGAATTTCTCTTACAAAGCAGCAAATACTGAAGAGTGCCAAACCACAATTCCAGTAAATTGTAACTCTTCTTAGATCGAATGCCGGTCGATACTTCATATAATGCTGTATATAATGAATGACAACTACGTACATAATAGAAAGGTATATAGAATAATGCCAATATTTGGCTACATAAAGTTTTAAATCTTCGAAATCAATTGACGTTTCAAATTCATAAGGTTGGGGATGTGGTTCAATAAGAACAAAGCGCTTCATCTTTATAAAAACATTATTGAAATTAATTNGTAAGTTGCAAAAAAGATTTGTAACAGAAAAATTTTGAAAACAATTGTAATTATTAATATTTATTATTTTTATTCACAAATTAAACATTTTTTGGAATATTAGTTTCCATTAATTCCACCATTATACATAATAAAACAATGTTTTTCTAGAATTATTTTCTAAAATTTCAATAATAGGCTCAATCATTAGAAAGGCTTGTCTACTTAAATAGAAATAAAATATGCAATATATTTTTAGGATTAGAAAATAAAACTAAATAAAAGAGGAGTAAATATACAGTATAACAACTACATGTGGAAAACATCTATGCCTGATCTTAATTCCCACATGCTGATATATCTTTGTCATCTCCAAGTGTTCATGCATGATCCATTTAACTGTTGTAGGCAACAAGTCCAGCTCCTCTGCTACTTTTTAGGTGGTAATTCATTGGTCCTGCTTAATGATATTGTAGACTTTGCCCATTTTTTCTTGGGTCATGACTTCAACAGAACAACCAGGACAAGGTTCATCTTCAACAATGTCTCCCAACTTTCCCAGCGGCCCCTTTATTGGCTGTATTATTTGAAGGGGCAGCCTCCCCATGTTTGAACATTCTATGTGAATGTTCATTAGGCTTAACTCTCCTTTTGGATTCTTCTGCTTCTATATTTCACTTCTTAGACTACTATGTTTACTTCAGGTACCTGTAACACAAAAACGAAAGATTAAGGGAGAAAAATTGGTATGCAACCATACAAATTTTTATGATCAACCTTTCTGGATCAGGCTGAGGACTTGGACTGACTGTTGTTCAATGCAGAGATCTAAGACAATTTATGTAGACAAAGATGAATGAAAGACCAACGAGAAGCATATAGTCACAATCTTGTCATGCATGGTTCATTGTTAGATTGTGCCCATAAGTTTACTGAAGAAGAAAATTTGTCAGATTACAAGTTACTATTTATTATTTTTGTATAATTAGTATATGCCACAACATCAAAGGATCAATATAGATGGAGATATATTATATATTTTTACTTGCTATTAAATATTGACACCAGAAAAAAAGCATTATTTTCATTTGTTTATATATATTATTAATTTCTTGAAATGCATCAATACTAATATGCCCCAGACTTTTTGAGATTATAGTCTTTCCCAGAATAAGAATGAAGCCATGTTCATTAATCTGCACATGCAAAAGAAAATAGCTTTGTTTTCATTACAAATTAGAACATAATATATACAAAACATATAATAGAAAATTATAAAGTAAGTTTACTGCTATAATTTATTTGAAATTTTGAACATATTTGCAAGAAATTTTAGATTATTAAAAAAAGAAAAACATTACATGACATGATGTTTGCATTTGAGAGTTTTCTTATGTTCTGTTTCATTTCTTACTGCACTTGATAATTACACATTCAACATCCAGCCCATTGATTCCATTGTTACTTTGGAAAATATTATAATAATGATATATTTAATTTTTTAAATATGACAGTCTACTATACTAACAGTTTTTAAGACATTTCAATAAGGTGTTTCAACTTTAAAGTTAATATATTTTTTAGTTTAGAATAGTAAATTTTTTTTTAATGTTTATTATGTTGAAATGTAAAAAGCAATATCAGTGAATAAATTGACAGATTTTTAGTGATAAATCATAGCATAATGAGTCAGAAATTAAGTATATTAAAGAATTTATTAATTATAAATGTTTAAAAAGGCTAAAGCTAGGTTTACATTGGCATACAAACTGCTATGAAGTGGATATGAAATTCCTTCCAGCAAGTGTTTGATCAGTTCATTAGTTCAGAGTTGAGAATATCTAAACTTTTTGCTGAGCGTTTCATTGCTAATACTAGTAGCTCGGGACGCCTCCTACTGGGCATTCTTTACAAATTTCCATGAGGCACGGTTCCTTTAACTTTTTTGTTCCTACCAATATGCTCTACAGCCCTGTTAAAGTCCGAATGGTAAGATTTACCCTCCAAATGAAGAGGTGGCGACCCCCCCAAACCGTAGACCCCTGTACTAACAATAAAGTCAAAGGAACCATACCTCTACTTGCGACCCTTCAAGAGATATAAACCCCTGAAATAATAAATTCCTATTACAAATATACTGAATTATTTATATTGTTATATTGACCAAATAATAATTTATTGGCCAAATGAATAATAATAATTTATATTGTTAATTTAAATAAGAATTAAAATTGTTAATTTGAATGTTTGAAATATGACACACGATAGGGGTGCCTCTAGTGTCCGTTATCAGACTGTTACGGGACAGGCAGATACCCGTTGAATGGGTTATATATATAGATTTGAAACCTTTTCAACTAGTCTTGTCCTAACATGAGTTTGTTTCTCACAGTATGATGCAGACAATATTTTAATTTGGTTAGTCTTCACTTCATCCTCCAAGCCCACATTAGGAACTGCTGGGTAGTAAAGGATAGAGCCTGACATATCTATACATGAAAATATCCTGAAGTTTCTTGCTCAGATTTGTTCTTGGATCCTCCAGAGCAGAAGGCTGATATCTTTACCATCTCAGCGGTCTAGCTGTTGCCATTTTTAGATTATAAGCAGTGATTTAATACATGAATATATTTAAAATTGATGTAATTTATTAAATTTTCGGCTTTGTTATGTATTAGAATTAAACTTAGATTTTTTTTAAACAAAATGAATGTGATTAAATTGTTAAATGATTTACTTTTAGGTGAAAACAGATGATGGAGAAATTAGAGAGGTTGAATTTTCTATTTTAGTCATTGCAGCTGGACCAAGTTCTGGAGAAATAGCAAAAATGCTAGGAATTGGAACAGGTAAAGGAATCTTACAGTTTCCATTACCTGTTCAACCAAGGTAAACTAATGCATTAAATAATAAATTAGCAATATGTTAAATGAAAAAATTTTACATTTTAATGGGATGATACTTTAATAGGAAAAGATATGTGTATTTTTACCATTGTCCAGATGGTCCAACCCTTGACTTTCCAATGTTAATAGATTCCTCTGGAGCATATGCTACTAGAGAAGGGCTAGGTGGATATTATTTAGCAGGAAAATCACCCTCTAAAGTATGTAAATAATTTTAAATAGTAATTCTGCTCTGTATGAATATTCACACTAATTAATTTATATTCAGTCAGAAGAACCAGATAACAGCAACTTAGATGTAGATCATCAATATTTTGATAGATGCGTGTGGCCATTGATAGCTAATCGTGTTCCTGCTTTTGAAGCTTTGAAGGTAAATTTATTATCAGAGCATAAATTATATTTATGAATACTGAAATTTTTCTAATATATATACTTTATAGGTCAAATCTGCATGGGCTGGTTATTATGATTATAATTATTTTGATGAAAATGGTATTGTCGGTTGCCATCCATATTATGGTAATGTCATTTTTGCTACTGGATTTAGCGGTCATGGTATTCAGATGGCACCAGCTGTAGGCAAAGCTGTTATGGAACTCATTTTAGACAGAGAATATACATCTATTAATCTCAGAAATTTTGGATTTGAAAGAATTATAGAAGGCATTCCACTAATAGAAAATCATTGTGTTTGATTTATTAAAAGTAATTTATAATCATGCATATCTATTTTAAAATTAATTATATGTTTTTAATTCTTAATTCTAATTGTATAAATTTTACACATTAGTTTGTATATAATGTAAAATAATGTATAAATAAATAGCATTTTTGTCAAATAATGAAATTTAAATAATAATCTAGAAATTTTTATTTTATTCTAGTATAAATACATATCTGAGAATTAATCTTTTGTTACTAACATTATAGAATTCTAATATTAATAGTTATTATTTTTTTTTTTATTAAATTTAATTTTATCATCATATATTTTATGTATGGCATGAACAATTTAATAAATACAAATTTAGATTTTTATTTAAGAGTAAATAAAAGACAATTGGCATTTTAATTGGTAATAAACCATTATCAAATAAATCAATGTATATTAAATAATCAATTCAACTCTAGTTTGATAGTATTAAAGCTCGGTTCGTATTTTCATGCAAAATGAATGAAATGAACACTAACTAAAATGTGATATAGCACAATTGATCGAATACTATGAAAAGTTGGTCAAACAGTTGCTGGAAATAGGCAAACTGGCAGTTTGTATGGCTTGAAATATATTTAATGGAAGAGGGATACATTATCGAAAGCAAGTCTGCTTTCATTGGATAGCATTTCAAATATAGTGGATTCAAAATCTTCAGTTTATGTTCTAAGCCAGCAGTTTCCAACCTTTTTTCATTAGTGTACTCCCGTGTCATTTCCAACTTCCTAACAAGAAACGCACGCACAAATCTCGCACTGCCTGTTTGTAGATGGGCGACTAAATATCCACATGGCACAACGCGCTGATTGGTCGGCTGAATGACGTCAACCTACTGGAAATTTTGATCAATTAGCCTAAACTTTGTAAGAGTTTTGAGAGAGTATAATTATAGACATTTCATCTAAAACTCGATAAAAGGCACTTATTTATAATTTCACTAGCTCTTGTGTGTATTGACATTAATGTTAAAATTATTGAAAAATTTTCAATTAAACTAAATTACCTGACATCAAAGATTTTAATGTTGAGAGAGTTTTAAACATCAAGAAATAACTTTTATCTGTTTTTCATTTCAATAAAGCATTTTTGTACATTTACTATAATAATAATATAGTCAAAAACAACAAATGTAAATTGCAAATTAAGTTTTTTTTTACATTTTTTATTAGGCAATACAGTATTTTTAAACTTACAAAAACTTGTATTTAATGTTTTATATATATATTACAACAGAATATGCTAAGTGGAAATGCAGCTTAGTTAACAATTTAATATGATTTTCACCTAAACATAATTCATAGTTTTTAATGCATAATTGTTAAAACATTTTAAATAATAAGTTATTTTTTTCTACAAATTCTCTAATCCATTGGTTTGCTTTTCAAATCAAATCCTGTGGAAACTTAAATAGCTTTATATTTTCCTATGCAACACAAACAAAAATAGCTTGCTATGAAAACATTACAGTACAAATGCAACATTACTTTTTCCTGGACTTATATTGATAAACAATTTCCATGATGAAATGTGTGGAAATTCTTATTTAAAACATATTCAAAGGAATTTAAATACTTACAGTATTAATGATTGTTAAATGATTTATACAAGAATTTTATACTTTTAATTTGAAAAATGGTCATACAAATTTGATTAAACATATTTACATATATATCTATTATGGAACTGGATACATGAAATTTCTGTAAATTTGAAAAGTGTTGTTTCTTAACACACAGATTTTGAACTGACATTCAAAAGCACAAACTGTCAATCCTAACTAAAGCATTAAAAAGATTTTTCTGATGAGAGTAATCTTTGGAGAATACGCCTATTCTTTATTCAAAATTGTTCATTAACTTTTACATTTAAACTTTATAATTTGTTAAGCAAGATTTGTGAAAATTTCTCTTTCAGAAGTATACAAAACTTACCTAATTGTGTTGTTTCATCTAACTATATTAAATGCATGTGACAAATTCAAAAAATATCCTGACT